TTGGGAATTTCAAACAGAATTATGTTCTAGTAAAATATGATATGATATTCCTATATCAATAAGTTTGCTAATAAATACTAATTATATAATACACAAAAACATAATGTACATATGTCGTTATATGGTGTAAATAATTCTGTAGAAAATGTTTACATTACAGTAAAGGGTTCTTCGATTTCAATTAGCTTCCGGCATGTATATTATTTATGTTAGTTATCAATAATTAGCTTTATTGACAAGAATTGTTTATAATATATATATGTATATATTTATATATGGGTGGTGAATATGTGTGTCAGGCATACAGTGACAGCTGTTAAATGCCAAGACTGGCTATTTATCAGAGTGAAATTGTTTCACGAGCGCAGCTAATCAGAGACCAATGCTGCCGGTGCACGTGAAATTCAAGTGAGTGTCATAGCACATAACCGTTGTTGTTGTTGTTGTTTTTTTTTCTCTCCAAGTTGCAGCGAGGCAACGGCACAGAACCAACTGTACTTGGGAAGCAAATTAACAACAAATGTATATTGTTACTGTTAGTTGTTGTTTTTGTTGCTGCCGTTGGTCTTTTTTTTATTAGCTTGCTGCGTCATCGTTGGGGCTATATGTTAGCGACGTGACGTCTATTAATAGAAATCAAACATGTAGTAAAAATTTGGTCAAACAAAACATAAATATATATGTTTATTTATATATATAATACAATATATATGCATATGTATTTATATAAACATCCACATATATTTTTATAAATAACAGGCCATTTTTGGCCGCAACACTATCATCGAGAAAGTTATGAAAATCGAAAAGAATATTGCCAAGCGACTGTTGTTGCTGCTGCAACATTCTTCCCGTTATGCGCAATCAAATTTGCCTGCATATTTATTGGGTAAGGCCTGTTGGAATCTATTGTGTCAGACAGAGCCAAGCAATGGCTAGAAATAACAACAATAACAGAATCTAGATCTATGTGTGTGCGTGTGTGTGTCTGTGTGTGCAGCTGTATGATTGTTATGCATGTAATAAAAGTTGTGGCATATGTTGATTAACGGTTATCATTTGCCACACACATAACAACCAACGTACCATTAATGCGTAATTGTAGTTTGCTTCTTTTTTTGCCAAAACGCCAACTGGAATGTAGAGAGGCCATATCTCAGTGCAACGGCGAAGATGGCGGCGGCGGCGGCGACGGTGGCAGCGACGGCGGTGACGGCGCCCATTCACCAACACAAAACCAAAATAATAAGTGCACGCGATTAAATGAAAAAATATATTGCTTTTAATGTTAGTTGCGTTGCCTCTGTTTACTTTCTACATTTTATGGCACTCTTGTTTGCACTGTTGTTGATATTGATAGCGATGTTAACCTACAGCTGGTCAACATTAGCATTTTATTGCGTTAAATCACGTTTCAATCACTTATATTTGTTTTGTTTTTGGCATGCACACTTTTATTTTGTTGTTAAGCACTTCGGTTATATTGTTTATATCAATATTATATTTGCACAGAAACCAAACGCGAAATTGACTAGCGAATGCGTTTTTTTTTTTTTTTTTTTTTTTTTTTTTGTTGAAATAAGCAGGACAATCGATAGCTATCAGGGCTACCGGAAATATCGAAGCGCTGGGCAACTTAAGCAGCATGATACGATTTATTAATTAATTGACAAAAGTTATAATGTTAAATAAATAAATAATAAACAAAAATTGGAAAATCATATTTTTTAATAATTTATATTACTTCTATTCAGTTGAATTGTATGAATAATAAATATATATGTCTTTTAAAAATTATTTAATTCAGCCAAACTATCGATATATTTTTTGTTAGGGATGTTATTGTACTGTAAATTCATGTGTGGCATTTGGGACGCTCATGCGAACAAATCGTTATTGACCAAATAACATTTCATCAGTCAAACCACAAGCCCTACAGACCATAAATGGGACATCTTAAGTTCCCAAAATCTTAGTCGGGCCATTACTTTTCAGTTTGGGCGATAAAAATTCCGCGATGAGATTCCTCTCTTAAGAGGGTCTGCATAGCTTCCTTCGGCCTGTTAAATTTTCACAAAACCATCAATAGGTGCAGTGAATACGAAATAAATGTGCATATTATGTATAGTTGAAGTTAGCATAATATATCCATTAATTAATTCACTACTTTCCAGATAATTATTTGAAAAGACAAGAGCATTAATACTAAGTCCGCCAAAGAATTGCAAACAATTTAAATAGTTTTTATCGATTGTGCTCAATGAGTGAGCTAAATTGCTCATCTCTCAATAAAGAGTAAGCAATAGTTCCGATTCATTTAGCCAAGGGGCAAATGAAGAAAAGCTGATGCTTATCGATATTTGATCGGCGCGAAAAATATATATGGAAATCGTATTTATTTAAAAATTTATTTACAAATTGATATATAATATAAACAAATTTTAAGATATTACAAATATTTAAAAAAAAAAAAAAAACAAACAAAAGATTCTTACATGAGATAGATTAACAAATAACATAAAAAACCTAAAACGAAAAATAAAATAAACAGTTTTCAATATACAGAAATTTGGATCTGTTTGCATGCGCAGCATAAAATCTGCGAATGAAAAGGTCAAATTTTACATTCGGCTGTTGCTTTTGAATCCACTTTGTACATTTGTTTCAGATTGACACCGAAACGCAATGTAAAGTAGTATACCACCTCAACGAGGCTTAGGATTGAGAAGCCCATGAAAAGACCAAAGATGCCACCGCAATTGGCCAAAAAGTCGGTTACGCCGTACAGTTCGGAACGCTTCGATGTGATGAATTGATTCTGCTTGAAGTAAATGGATAGCCTAGACATCTGAGAGCCGGGATAGTCGCGCAAGAAATCGGTGTCTCCTTCGGCCGCCAGCATTTCATGCAAATCGAAGTTGGCCTGCGAAGTCTCCGCATTATAGACGAGCGAAGTGCAGGCGGGCATGCAGTTGCATGCCGTCTCCATGGGTCTGCCGTCCGATGACGCGCCTTTTGCATTCAGCTTGCGAACGCGGTGGAACTCGCGCACCAACAGCTCGCGCTCGGCCATGTGGTAGCAATGGATCTTGTTCTCGCTGCAGACCGGCATGTCCAGGCTGCGGGGCATCGAGAACTTGACACAGCCGCACTTGGCCAGCGTAAAGTTGGCCAGGCACTCCAGTTCGCAGTTGGACTCGGAATAGACCTTGAAGAAGCGCAGCGGACGCTCGTGGCCGAGGAAGCACTGTCGCCGCTGCGGATCATACTCGGCAATGCCCTCGGACATGGTTATCATGTTTGGCTTCACGGCTATCAACACTTCTCGACCCATGGGGATGCGGACGAACTGCTTGGACACTTGCGGCACGTCGTCCGGTGCGTGCAGCAGCACCTTGAAGCCCTGCACGGGTCCGCGGCAGGCGTAGTCCACCTCCTGCTCAAAGCTCTGCAATGTCATAAAGATGCCCGAGCGTGCGCCAGCGCTGAGCACACGAGCTGGATATGTCTCCACGTCGCATGATGCATCGTAGCCCTTGTCCAGACTCCACTTCGACTTAGACACGTTCTCGGCGGATTGGTGATACTGGTAAGTGCCCTTCCGATAGATATCCGTGGGTCGCAGGCCATTGAATGTGTAGCAGATTCCCTCCTCGGTAAGCGTTGGCCGGAAGTACTTGTCGCACTCGTTGAAGCGGCTCAGCCAGCGGCAGTAGAAGAAGTAACGGTCGAACGGCGGCAACATGCGCTCCAGCACTTTGGGGTAGTCCAGATTGTCACCGGGAATCAGTGGCATGTCCTGCTGGATGCTGTGCGTGTTGCACACGTGGAGCATCGTACGAAACTCTTCCAATTCTTTGGACGTGACATTTGGTGGCTGGAAAACGTGTGAGTTATGCCTCTCCGCCGTATACTGACTGTAGAGATTCGCAAACGTATTGTTGCTCTGCGATTGAAGCACGCGCTTCGTCTCCGAGCAAATGGTGACGGCGGGGAAGGGTATATTCCACACGGGTGTCGATCTCTCTGCAAAGCTCACGATCACCGGCGTCTCGTTCCACTTGTTGTAGGCGCTCAGGATCAGCGTGGCACAGCAGCAGATGGACAGCAGGAATGCGAATAGCCAAAAAATACGATCTTTCTTCGGCCGCGTCTCCTCCCCCAGGTACTGCACGCCGTGCAACGAGCTGTGCTGGAAGTAATCTTTGTACGTCAGCATAAAACATTGGCAGATCGTTCTCCCAGCTGCTCGCTTCGGCGTTTTCTTAGTTTTGTTTCTTGTATTCACGTCGAAGTCGTTGCCTTCCATGTCGCATTCAAATAAAGTTGCGGGTGATTTGGTTTCAAAGCCTTTAGTCCGTACAAACATTGTTTAAACAAAAATTAACGCAACTAATCTTGTTCAACAAAACTATACACTTGTACGTACATACATAAATTTAGGCGAATGCCGTTACGAGCCAAGTGCCGTTACTTTTAACTAACATGTGCTCTTTCCCATTATTCGTCGCTTTAGGACCAGTACGTTGATCGTAAAAACGATATAAAGACATATTGATTAAGAGAGAGAGAGAGAGAGAGAGAGAGAAAGAAAGAGAGAGAGAGAGAGAGTGAAAGCAGAAGGCGAACTTCATGTGGCTAATTCATAAATTTATATTTATTATTCTCGTTTTGCGAAATAAATGAACGTTTTACATTGATTTAAGAGTTTGCATTTTTTTTATTATAATATAATCGTTTCGAGTATTACACTCGAATTATACTAACGATAGCAATTAATATCTGTATAAATATTAAGCACATTTAGTTTGTAAATCTGTTGGCGGCAAAAGTAATATAAGTTTAAATTAAAACCCTTTCTTTGTTATTATTAAGTATATTTCCAACAGGCACAATAATACCAGCATGCCAGCATAGGCAGCAGCGAAAATACTAAAACAAGCTGGCCACTCTTGTTTGCATGCGGTCATACTTTTGTTTACGTTTTGTTATCTTATTTCTGTTACAGTGTTGTTACAATTGAGGGCAATGTTGTTGTAGTCTGCGCGCATACAGTGGTGGTAAGATGAAGGTCCACTGAACAGCTGATTTGCAAGCATTTAAAATTATCGATAGCAAGAACACAACGACGCAGCAGCAGCACGAACCAGCAGCGCAGCGCAGTGACTGTAGCAGCAAATATTATGCGAAACAAGAAATCTATAAAAAAGTAGAGCAGCAGCAGCAGGAGCAGCAGCCGTTGGGGCGGGGTAAGCAGCGGGAACAGCAGCATGGAACCTCCAGCGCACGTTACCGCAGCGGCGGGCATTGCAACTGGCGAAATCTCGGCGGATGCTGAGCAAGACAGCCAAGTGACAACGGCGCATAATAATGATGAGCAAGCGGATAATGGGGAAGGCGATGATGATGACGATGACGATGATGATGATGATGACAATGACAATGACAATGATGTCGACGATGACGATGATGATGATGATGCCAAGGATGCTTATTATGAGGCGCGCAATGGCAATGAAAGCGACGAACTTGAAACGGCATTCGAAAGTGCATTGACTCTGGCCAGTGACGTCAGAGTGAGCGTCAGTGACGCAGATGCCGAAATCATAGACGAGAGCAATGGACCGAGCACGGATCAACAGCCGGACACTGAGCAAGTGCAGCAGCTGGAACAAGATGCGGGCGGCGATGTTGTGATGCGCAAAAAGCTCAACCAGAGTAAGCAAATCACTCAATCTATCTCACTTTTGGCTAAGTTCTTTGGTTTCTCTCTCTAAACAGCTCCAGAGATTAACAACGAAAACAACGATCCACCAGTGGAAGCAGCGACAGCCTCAACGGCTGCTGCCAACGATGAATTGGCCAGGCCACGTAACCAACACCAGGCGCTGCTCTCGACCAAATCCTGTGAAACGCCTGGCAGCACTGCATTGGGATCGGCATCGGCAACTGGAGCGGCGCTGTCGCCCAGCAGCTCTTGCAACGGCAGCATCGGCAGCGATGGCAGCTGCAGCGTGGGCGGCGGTGCCCGTCGCAAATCCTGGACGCTCTCGCCCCAGAACGGTGTCTGCAAGAAGAAGAGCAAGCCGATTGCCATGTCCACCGCGACGACAGCGAATGGGGACAGCTTCAACTTGTGGGTGGCGCGCGAGTGCTTCGAAACGGTGCCCGCCGAGATGGTGGACACGTTGAGTGTGGCGGAGCTGCGCGAGCAGCAGAACGAAGAGTCGCTCGGGCAGGAGGAGGACGAGGATGACGACGATGTGGACGAAGAAGCAGCCGCTGTCGAGAGCCTACTAGGCGCCGCAGCAGCGCTGCAGGCCAGCGCCTACTTGGGCAGCGGAGCGCACAGCCGGCAGAAGCATTTGCGACAGCCGCCGGCGCAGCATCGTCCGCTGGAGCGCTCGTGGCCGCCACGTGCCGTTGGGCGGGAGCTGAAGCTGCAGGGCGATGTCTTCAAGTTCGACATACTGGACACGGATGAGCGCATGCCTGGCGAGGATGTGCCCAGCTACAGTGGTGCCAGCAACTCGCCGCTGCGCCTCCTCGGCCAGCCGGAGGCCAGTCCGCCGCCGATGCGCTTCAAGCCGCTGATCCAGAAGAAGATCGGGCCCGACAGCTACATCAACACGATCAGCACGCAGAAGGTGCCCGCCCACATGACCTACGAGTTTCCCACATTCCCCCTGCAGGAGCAGCACAGCAGCAGCGCCAGTGGCAGCGCCAGCTGCAGCTCGAATTCCAATTCCAACTCGAACTCGAATGGCCTCGGCGCTCATCACTTTCCCTATCTGCGTCAGCACCGTCCCTTGACCCGCGCCCTGTCCAATGGTAAGGCTGCCGGCTCAGGATCAGCGGCGGGCAGCGATGAGTCGTACCACTTGGCCAGCAGCAGCAGCAACAACTCGCCTCGACTGCTGCTCTCGCCCAAGCGGCAGCGCAGCCCGCCCTCGGGCTGCTCCACGCGCAGCGTTTCGCCGCTGGATCTCAGCCTCAGTCCCGAGTCGCAGCATTCGCCCACGCGCGGGCGGGGCGTGGGCGGCCTGGAGGCCATCTTACCACTGCCTTTGGCGCCGCCGCCGCCCCTCGGCACGCCCACTTTCCATGCACAACGGCCGCAGCAGCGGTTGCTGAAGCGTGTGGGCGGCGGCGGAGGAGCGGCTGCAGCCTCTGGTGCTTCTGGTGGATTGGTCTGCCCGCCCACGCCCACACATCATGCGCGCCGGCATGCGCGTCTGCAGGCCGTCACTGCCAACTCCGCTTCAGCCGCAGCATCGGGAGCAGCGGAGCCCAACTCTAGTCAATTGCAGACGCCGCCCGGGTCGCCGGCCGGCGCTGGCGGAGCACACGGAGCAGATGTGGACGACACCTCTGAGGTGCTGCACATTAGCAGCACTCGCCTGCCCTCCATACCGGAGCGCAGTGCGGCAGCAGCGGCGGCGGCGGCAGCAGCAGCGGCTGCCGCTGGCGCCGGCATCATGGAGAGCGCGGGCGGCGGTGGCTGTGGCGCCATGGCGGAGGCACCGCTGCCGCCTGCCTGGGAGGCACGCATGGACAGCCACGGGCGCATATTCTACATTGACCACACGACACGGACCACATCCTGGCAGCGGCCAGGTCCGAGCACGGGCCCCGGCGGCCGCGAGCAGCACCACCGGCAGCAGCTGGACAGACGCTATCAGTCCATACGGCGCACTATCACCAATGAGAATCGCCTGTCCATGCACTCGGCCGATCCGTCAACGATCCACGCGGCTCCCAATCAGCTCTACGGTCTTCCACATGGCAGTGGCCAGACTGCTGGGTCAACGGCATCTGCCGCCGCCGGGGCAGCGGTGCCGCCCGCCTCGCTCAACCTGGCCATACATCCGGCGGTGCTGATGCTGTGCCGTCCGGACTTCTACTCGCTGCTGCACACCAACGAGGCGGCGCTGGCCATTTACAACCGGAACGCGGCGTTGAAGCACATGGTTATGCGCATTCGCCGCGATCCACAGTGCTTCCAGCGCTACCAGTACAACAAGGATCTGGTGGCGCTGGTCAACACCTTTGCGCAGCTCAGCCGCGACCTGCCGTCCTGCTGGGAGACCAAGATCGATCAGTCCGGCAAACAGTTCTTCATCGACCACCAGCACCGCAAGACCTCCTTCATGGATCCTCGCCTGCCAGTCGAGTGTCCGCGCGTTGTCCGTCATCGCCAGCAGCAGCAGCAACAGCAGCATCCGCATCCGCATCCACATCCGCACCAATATATGCAGCGAGAAGGGCAACCGGATCTCGTTGATGGCAATTGCCTGTCGGCCACCGCCGGCCACATCAACTCGAGCAGCTCCAGCAGCGCGTCGGCTTCGGTGTCGGGCGCGCCGCCGCTGCCGCCACCTCGTCCATGTCGTGGCAGCGGCAATCAAGCAGCCGGCGCCAGCCAGCACAACTGCACCACGGCGGCGGCCATTGCCTGCGCACTGAGCCTCAGCGGCGCCGTCGGCGGCCCCAGCACCAGCGCCAGCGCCAGCTCCAGCTCCACCGGCATCCCTGCAGCCGCGGGCCACGAAGATGTGCCCATAGCCTACAACGAAAAGGCAAGTTATATCGACTTGATTGAACTGAATAGACTTCACCTTGTAGTTATCCAGTTTCCCCATAACTCCATCCCCAATCTAGCTATATGATCCATATATCTCGCTCGTAGTAATCCAAGTTAGAAATTACGCTCAGAGAGTTCTATTGGTATAGATCTATTTACAATTTTAGTCTCATTCCCATTCCATTCCATTTAATCAGAGCTTCAGTTGAGACAAATTTCCATTTGTCGTATATCCAGATAGATCTAACTATCAAATCCCACTCTTTGCATAAGTCTTAGTGCTATATGGATATATGTATATGGTATATGTATACTCATCATCTAAGTTCATTCTTATCTATCAATGAAATCTAATTTTTCATCAGTTTCAATTCGAGTTAAGATATACATATTCAGATAAATTATATTTATAGAGTTAAGATATATATAGATTTACTCGTCGTTGAAATATTTGCAATTTACCTAACGATATTCCTTTTCAATTGCAGGTTATTGCCTTTTTGCGACAGCCCAATATTTTGGAAATACTACGCGAACGCCAAGGCCAACACACAGTATCTCGATCGCTGCGCGAAAAAATAAACATCTTGAGAGTTGAGGGCGTGCCCGCTCTGGAGCGTCTGGGCCACGATCTACAATTGACCATATTGCTGAGGTAAGTAACCGTTATAAGAGTATATTGAATAATACGGCGTACTGACAATACGGAGCTAAGAAAAACGTCATCTAATACCTACAATACAACAAACTAAAGAGAACTATTTTATTGAGTGTCCTCTTTCGCTCTCCATTTCAAAATCTTTAATATATGTTCTCTACTCTAAAATCGCCCGCTTTTTACTCTCCCATATTTCTCTACACTTGACTCACCACATTTCATTCTTCACATTTCACATTCCACTCTTCACTCTCCAGAGTTTCCTTTTCACTCTTCGGCTATCTAATATCTAATATTTAGTTGTTACTCGTACGCTGATCACTCTAACTCTGAGTTCTCTATGCTGCATTCTTCATTGTCCCCAGTCCACTCTACTCTTTAAACTCTTTTCACTCCACATTCTCTACTCTCCAATCCCAATTCGGGTGTCTTCAATTCCTTACTTTTATGAAACTTAGTTGGGTACACTTTCATATTGTAAGTACATATATAACATATATACAAATATTTATATGCTTGAACAATCTATATAAATGTTTAACACAATGAGATAGTGTTTAGAGAACCGATGCTCTAAAAACTCTTTTAAGATGTGTTCGGCACGTGTCTGTAGATCCCTTTCGACAATACTTTACGACATTCTCTTTTATTATCTCATTCCTTTCTATCGTTCGTTAATTATTAGATCGTAGATATAATTGACTTGATTGAATTGATGTTGGATCTATCTATGATACGCAGATCACAACTAATTCATAGGTGTATGACTTCAGCTACAGTTAATGGATTAATTGATGGGAACTTGTGCATCTGGTTCCACTGTGCAGCAGTTGGAGTCGCAGTCAGTGGCCGAGTCAAAGAGCCAACGGCTGCACTTGGCAAAGGCTTTGGCACCAATTCCATGGCTGCGTCATAGGCTGCATTGATCGCTGCTGCACTGGTGGTCAATGCTGATGGTGGTGTTGGTGGTGTCGGTGGTGTTGGTCGTCCTGCTTCAGTGCGTTTGCCATCATCATCATCGTCGTCGTCGTCGTCGTCGTCGTCGATGTAGACGACTGCATGTGTGTTAATTGCATTTGAAAATCGCCGCGAAGGTTATTCACTCATTTTCCAAAACACTTTTAATAGCAATTACAACAACAACAACAACAATAACAATAACTTTAGTATTAACAACAAGGTTAACAAACTATTTCCAAAGCAACAAATTGAGCGTATTTCCCTCGACAGCACCGACTCCTTAGGCATTAGCCAGCAGTTCACATTTATTGACTAATTGCCAATATTTCTTTCTTCAAATTGTTGAGTCAACCACAAGTATTGAGGAACTATTCACATGCATTTCGCATGACCTTAATATTAACAACTTGTTAAGAGATTAAGCCACAGATTATCCGGCATTAGCCACGACAGCTTCAAGCGGCTGTCCCACTAATCGGAGCTGTGCGAGAGATAATTGCATTCAATTAGACAAATTAACCCGCTCCATTGCATCCAAATAACTAGGTGACCGAATCCATGCTGGCATTGCCATGGCGTGGGAGGGGGTAGGCCAACAACTCACTCGACTATATATCTGTATATATATGCTATATGATAAGCTGATCTGTCATCCCACATGGGACGGCTCTACACACTCAGAAAATGATTCGCAGCGACTGTGATCGCGTAATAAATAAATTCAGGAAACCAACTCTAACAAGATCTAACCTAGCTGAATTAGTTATCGATTAATTTTGGAAGTACCAGGGTGTTTCATAGTCTATAATACAAATTACCTTTCACTGAAGCATTTCAGAGCTATAAACTCTGTATTTACAATTCTAAAGAGTAGTTATCCCATCTGAATAAATGACTCTGACAGAAGATGAGTTCGTTTGTGAAAAAGAGACAGAAATAAAGATAGAGAGAGAGATAGTTTATAAACATTTTTCTCATCTATTGGCATTGATTCTATCAAAGTATTATCGAAATTTCTTTCATTTCTTATACAATATCAAGTCTCTTTCAAAGAAATACTCATATATGGTATATTTAGAAAATCATTATTCATACTTTATATACATGTTTTGGATTTCAAAACCAAGCTAAATTGAAATGAGTAACAGAAAGAAAGAAGAGACAAACTAAAGTGCTCAACTTACTCTGATTCCATATATATGTATACTCCTCGAGAATCTCAACTGAAAATATTTCATATTATTGGAGTAACAAATAAACAATTTTAAATTGTTTTGCATCCGGCATTGTTAATAGAAATTTTAGAAAATTCGACTCTTGATATTTGGTTACTGTCAAGATCGATGCGCTTATTCAGGCGAATCTTGGACATTTAGCTATTTCAATTAGTGGTTGAATTTGAAGCCTCAGCTAATTCTTAAAAATTGTTTATAGTCCACTCAGGCTCCCTCCGTCTCTCTCTTTATCTTTTTATCTGCCCATGTGAGTTTCTATTTCTATTTCTCTAGGTCTACTGTTATTTCTCACTTTGTATTTCAATCTCTTTCTATTTCAATTTCTCTACTTTCTCTTTTTCATTTCTCTTTATATTCATTCTTTTTATCATTTTTTCTGACTCTGTGTCTTTCTCTCTCTCTCTCTCATAGGAGTCTGTCGTTTTCTCTCCTATCCATATAAGTTTATATTTCTCCTTCTTTATCTTCCTCTATGTCTTTGTGCATATAACTTTTTCACCATTTTTATACCCTGAACCCATTTTCAATGGGAAATCAGGGTATAATGGTTTTGTTAAATGTATGTAACAGGCAGAAGGAGGCGTGGCAGATCCCATAAAGTATATATATTCTTGATCAGGGCGACGAGCTGAGTTGATTTAGCCCTGTCCGTCTGTCCGTCCGTCCGTATGTTTGAACGCGTCGATCTCAAAAGATATAAGAGCTAGAGACTTGAAACTTTTTTCCTAAGTCCGTGTATAGCACGCGCATAACGAGTTTTGCTTTAAATATCGATAAATTGCCCCGTTATTTTGTTATCGATTAAAAACGTTATCGAAAACCAGTAAAAAATTTATATCTCCTACATCTTTTAAGCTAGAGTCTCCAAATTTTTTATGTATACTTATATGCATTTTATACAATTTCGATTTTTGTCAAAATTCACCCCCTCACCCTTACATTTGTAAAAAGCGTATTTCAAATACTAGAAACTTTGTGCTTTGGCAATTACATGCATATTCATGTTATAATCATAATATAAAAGTTTCATGAAGAAACTACATCCACAAGAAAAGTTATTGAACAATTAAGTTCCCTTAGTAAGCCATCACTGCAGCCAATGCGTGTTTATGCGTGCCTCCGTATCTCTGTGTGTGTGCGTGTGTGTGTGTGTGTGTGTGCGTATGATGTGTGTGTATATGCCTGTGTGTGTAAGCGTGTGTGTGTGTGTGTGTGTGTGTGTGTGTGTGTCTTGTGTAAGCAGAAAGACGCGAAAAATTATTGAAACAGCTATTGCTCGAAGGGTTCAGGGGATCTCCTAGTCGGGCACTCTCGACTAGAGCTTTCTTACTTGTTATTTATTCACCATTTATTTCTCTACTCACTCCTGCGATCTTTCTCTATGGGTATGTGCGTCTTCATCTCTCTCTCTCTCTCTCTCTCTCTTTCACTATTCCTCTCTCTCTCTCTCTCTTTCCCACTATTTCTCTCTCTCTCTCTGTCACTTTTTTTCTCTCTCTCTCACACTTTTTTTGTCTCTCTCTCTCTCTCTCTCTCTCTCTCTTTCGCTCTGTCTCTTTGTCTCTTTTATGGTATCACTCCCTATCTCCATCCTAATCTTTCGCTTTATCTCTCTTGATCTGCTACACATTTCTGACGCTAGAGTCACCCTGTCCGGGAATCTTACTAGATCCATAGCGGTGCTCCATTAGATATCAGTTATATATTTATTTATAGTTTGTTAAATTTTGAACCGCTCCCTTTTAAGAGAGAGAGAGATGCGCTTAATTTCCAACTTTTAGCATCCACATTGATACTCGTGCTAATCCCTTGACGAGGAGACGCGCCGCGACGCAGTTTAACCCAGTTTCGATTTTTGTTTGTGCTTTTTTTTTTGGTGTTGCGACAAATGAGCGTTGCCAATAAACCATAATTTATTGGCTAGGCAGGGTTTCGGTGTCGGCGACGGCGACGGCGACATCGACGGCTCCAGCTGCAACTCTCTGGCTCTCGGATATTAAGTTTTGACCGGGGGGTGTGGCAGCAGCGTCATCTTCATTAGTGGCAACGATCATCATGATCATGTTCATGATCGTCATGATGATCATTGGGGCAGCGTTGAAGCGTTGACAAGCTTTCAGTTCCCGGTTGTTGTTGCTGCACGAGGGTCTATTCATATACCCTTGCCTATAGCAAATGTATAAAAAGGGTATGATGACGTTATTCACAAATTTGTTTTTATACCCATTGAAAGTGGGAGATTAGGGTATAATAATTTTGTTAAATGTATGTAAGAGGCAGAAGGAGGCGTGGCAGACCACATAAATGATCAGGGCGACGAGTTGAGTCCATTTAGTCGTGTTCGTCTGTCCATATGTGGGAACATTGGATCTCGAAAGAAATGAGATTTCGACAATTGAAACAACAACGAGTAGATCCAGTTTCTTTGCTATATTCAATATCTACCCATTTTTTATCGGTTAAGAACCTTATCGAAAATTATTTATAAAATTATATATCCTACAATTTTAGAACTTAAAAATTTTATATATAGATTCATGTTTCGATTTTTGTTATAATTCTCCTCCCACCCTCAAAACAACACTTCCTCTCCCTCTTTTTTTTTTTTTTTTTTTTTTTGTTCTTTGCCTTTTGATTTATAAGAAATAGTGTTTATTGATAATGAGCTTTGCTGTATGTGTGAAATGATATACAAAAAGTGAAGAGTGTGATGACAAGCTTACGCAGTTCGCTTCGAATCCAATTCTATATGGATATACATATGTTTATATGAAGCTCTAGAATAAATTTGGAAAATAAAAC